GGCTGCATTCTCCAGCTCTGCTTCCCACAGACCCTGGCTCACCTCATCGTTCATACCCTGCACCAGGGAGGAGAGTGGCCTCACCCTGCCCAGGCAGAAGTCCTAAGATTGAATCTCACTGACCCTGACCAGCCTGACTTGGGTCATGTGCTTCTCCCTCAACATAGCATGACAGTCAGGGAGGGTGGAATGTTCTGGTCCATCTCCTGCTCCAGATGGAGTGAGCTTCATTTGGAATTCATGGATTGAGAGGACAGAAAGGACCATCGCCCACAGTATTTGCACAGTAGGGAGCGGGGGCTGGGCTGCAGAAAGAACAGATGTCCACTGCACTTGTCTAAACAACCCTACTTATGTTTTCCTGAAACAGTTCCATGGCTCATGTCATTATAAATGTCCATGAAATACACTTCCTGCAGTTGAGCGCCGTCTTCCGTGTTGCTTGAATTCGCCCCAGCCTCTCCTAGCTGTGGACGCAGGAATACCTTCAGTGCTGGAAAGGCTGGTCATGCGCTCCTGTCCTTTAGTGTCCCAAGTGCTAGGCTGCACCCCAGGACAGACGTAATGGGAAATCTTACTCTGAGCACCCCTGTTTAGACCTCGGGTGGCCCATGCCCTTCTGCTCGCGTTTGGTTAGAGCTCACAAGCCTTAGCGTAGAGCTCCCGCAGCCCACCGTCGCCGCCATCCTGTCCGCGCAGTGCGGGCGTGGCCTGACATCTCTTCAGATGGTGCGTTGTTTTTAGACCGTCTGTGCCAGCGCTTGCTCTCTGGGCAGAGGCATGCCTTTGGGCTAACGTTAGCTCCTCCACAGGCTGCTGGTGACCTGCTTGAAGGGTGTGACCTGAGCCTCTTTCCTCCCCTGCAAAATTCGGATCACTGTGGCGCCCGCTGTTGTGAGAGTCTGTGCCCTGGGTTTTGGGGTGCGTCAGGAAGCATCTTAAAAGAAACGCACTGCCAGTCCTAAGTGCACGGCGGCCTCGCAGCTTCAGAAGTGGTGCCGTGTGGGGAAGTCCTCGTCAGGGCCCCTGCAATGTGCTGGTGCAGACAGAGCCGGCCCCTGGAGTCCATGCCTGGGGGCCTCTGTTGGGTGCCTGCGACTGGGCACATGGCATTTGCCATCTTTTATTTTCTTGTTCTCAAGTCTAATTGCTGGGTTTTAAAATATCCCTTAGTATTTCTAAGCTGGAAAAAAGCGAGGTCATCACAGCAAATTATCTTAATTCAGCCTGGGAAAGGCCACCACCGTTGCTGGTTTTCACTTTAATGTGAACGATAATCATTTTGTTAGAGTAAGTAGATCCCATGACTTGACTACAGATTATATTTTGAAAATGTTGATTCGATTATCCCCTTTCCTCAAAATGGAGTCCTACACTTTAACCACAGTGGTGGAATAAGCGTTACTAATGACAGGCATTAGTCAGGATAAAGGCAAAAGAAGCAGTAAAAGTTCAGAGATACAAATCATCAGGTTGGCAATAAAAGTATACGTAGAAACTCAGCTAATGAGCTGCCACTCACCCTCTCCTGGTGTGGACCGGCCTTCTGCAGCGCCCCGTCCGTCGTCTTGTCCTCCTTTCACAGATGTCCATCAGGGGCCACACTTTTCCATCTCTCCTCCTCTTACTGCAGCACGTTATCGTGATAATTAGTGCAGTGGTTCTGTTCATGTGCCAAGATAAAGAAAGTGGACTTTCCAAGAGAAAAAGCCAGCAATCCTGTGTTTCTCCTCCCTCAGCACAGAGTGGGCCACTTATATAAGGAGGGGAAATATGTCTCCGTTCTCCCTAAGACGGGCTCTCTCTGTTTGCCGGGGAAATCCCCCATGCCTGGTTTCAGAAAGGATTCACAGTGGCTCTGACTGCCTCTGCTTAGTGGGGGCTCCACCACTGACTCAGCGTTCAGAGAGGCCCCGTGTGTGACCGCACAGGAAATCTGCATGGTGGCTTTCATCCCCAACTTCAGTCTCACTTTTCGTGCGATGTATACTCCTAATTTAGAGCCTGCAGTTATTAGGATTTTAAAAATGCATTAAAAACTGGTTTTTCTGGCTGTGCAGCAGCAGAGTTCTCTATTAGCCAGCACGTCTGAGCTGTGCCACACGCTGCATTGCAGGGAGAGGGCCCTGTCAGCCAGATGCTTAGCCGGCTTTTCCGTTACTCCAACCTTTAAAGTTATAAAGCTGACTGCGTTTTATTTATTTTATTCTTAATTTAAACTATCATTTAGTATGTATGCTTATGGACAAATTGCAGCTAGTGTCCTAGTGGAAATAGGTGTTCTTAGAGAGGTTGGTTTCCTATTGAGTGTTTACATGTTAGAATTGTTTTAATAACAACAAAGTATTTTAAAATTTAACCTGAAAAATTTTATTCCACTGAAAGAATTTAAAGTGAGAAAGACTTTTTTTTTTTAAGATTGGCACCTGAGCTAACATCTGTTTCCAGTCTTCTTGGGTTTTTTTTCTTTTCTTTCTCCCCAAAGCCCCCAATACATAGTTGTATATTCTAGTTGTAGATCCTTCTGGTTGTGTTGTGTGGGACGCCGCCTCAGCGTGGCCTGATGAGCAGTGCCATGTCCGTGTCCAGAATCCGAACCGATGAAACCCTGGGCTGCGAAAGTGGCGTGCGTGATCTTAACCACTCGGCCACGGGGCTGGCCCCTGAGAAAGACGTTTTTGATCACAAGAACTGTCCCGTGGTGAAATGGTTCCCTGGAGATGGTTTAGGCAGAGCCGTAAGTGGGGAGGAGGGGAGTGAAGACCCAGTAAGGAATGCTGGAAGGTCTCTCGTCCTTCCCTCCCTGGAGCGGAGTGCCTGGTTACTAAGTTGTCTTACGTGGGAATAAACTGCTGTGGGAACAGGGCGCGTCGTTCCCAAGCGATGCTCAGCCCTGCTGCTTCTCACACGCAGTCCCTTGGAGCCACCCTGCTTGCAATGAACGATGAATAGAAGATGTGGAAGATAGTGTGTGGTGACTCTAAACAGCAGGGAGCCTAAAAGGAGGGCAGAGAATCGCTCTCAGATCATAAAGCAGCTAACTTAAGGGTAAGCAGATCTCCATGTGATGCCTGCCCCAGCAGAGCACCAGTGCTTTTCCTCTCAAAGCCATAGAAAAAAGCCCAACTTTTTTTTTTTTAATTATTTTTTTCCTTTTTCTCACCAAAGCCCCCCAGTACATAGTTGTATGTTCTTCGTTGTGGGTCCTTCTAGTTGTGGCATGTGGGACGCTGCCTCAGCATGGTTTGACGAGCAGTGCCATGTCCACGCCCAGGATTCGAACCAACGAAACACTGGGCCGCCTGCAGCAGAGCGCACGAACTTAACCACTCGGCCACGGGGCCAGCCTCCAAAAAAAGCCCAGCTTTTGAGAATCCTTTGCCTTAAGTGTTGTTTTCCCTCATCCAGTGGGCCTGTCGCAGGAGAGGACAGAAGGGAACCCAGGAGCAGCCGCAGGATTACAGATGAGCTGTTTCCTAGAATCCTTACTGCTGAATCCTGTGAGACACAAAATGAGAAGTTGCAGATTTCCCAGTGTGTCTCGAGGCAGGTGGTGTGTAATGGCTGTAGTTAAAATACATTTGAAGTGAGTTGAGGAAAGACCTTTCTCACTGATGAGGGGAAGGGCTGAAGGTAGATGGCTGCAGTGAAAATATAAAACGGTGGTGGGTTTTGGGGATTTTCGTTTTGTTTGTGTAAACTCATTTTTTTTTTATTTACAATGTGACATGGACAGTTGTTTATGTTGTTAAAAATAGATTCCCATGGGGCCAGCCCCATGGCCGAGTGGTTTAAGTTCGTGTGCTCTGCTTCGGGGTTTCACCGGTTTGCATCCCGGGCACAGACATAGCACCGCTCATCAGGCCATGTTGAGGTGGCGTCCCACATGCCATAACTAGAAGGACCCACAACTAAAATATACAACTATGTACTAGAGGGGGTTGGGGAGAAAAAGAAAAAAAAATAGATTACCACATCATTTAAAAAGTTGAATACCATTTCACCATGTGGATGTACCGTATTGAACCGGTACCTTCTTGATGGTCATTGAGGTGGTTTGTAATTCTTGGTCACTATAAAGTCATGTGATGTGGGTCCATAGGTGTGCATTTTGCACGCTTAGGTGAATGTCTCTAGAATAAATTCCTAGAAATGGGATTGCTCGAGGTGACGCACGCTGCTGAGGGTGGTTGTTTCTTGATCTGTGTGCTGGTGTCCTACTGCGAAAATTCCACAGGCCATGGGTTTAAGATCTATGCAAACTTCTGTGTGTCTGTTATACTTGGTTAAAGAGGTTTTTCTTATGGTGAATGAATATTTATTCAGTGCACTACTGTGCTAGGTTAGTATGTGCAGAGTAAGATGACGTGCTGATGGGATTGCCTTCTTTATGGTTGCCATTATTGACTTTTTTCCTTCAGTTTCATTGAGATCTAACTGACATCCAGCACTGTATATGTTTAAGGTGTACAGCGTAATGACTTACATAGACTGTGAAATGATAACCACAATAAGTTTAGTTAACATCTGTCAACTCATAGATACAAATTAGAATGAAAGGTGTTTTCCTTTTGACAAAAATCAAAGAGGAACCTCTTTTAATTTAGGCCTGCTCTAAAAATTATTTTCAAGTGGTACAGAGATTCATAAAAACCTAATGCTGGAGGTTTGAGGAATCTTTTCAGTGGAAAGTCATAATTATTTATAGAAGAGCAAGCGTGGCTCTTTTCCTAACGCAGTGTCCTTAGCACCACGTTCCTCTCATCAGCTGCAGCCGCCGCAGCCTGGGGGACTCGGCACAGGGAGACTGGCCTCTGACGAGCCATCGCCTCCCCTGAGATGCCGGGGTGACGCCTCTAGAGCCCTGGAAAGAGAGGTGGTCCCCTCTAAGAGATGCTGCTGCATGATTGGTGTGAGCGCCCCAATGTTGAAATTTTATATAATATACATTTTTAAATGTCCTATTTTCACTAACATCCAGACGTTTCTTCTGTCTCCAGGACGCCAGCACTGTGCCCTGTCCTCTGTTGACTGGAGGCAGACCTCTGCCAACTGTAGACATTAAACCCCCAGAAGGGCCCTCAAGCAAAAGCAAAGACCCGCCAAGAGAAGAAGAGAAAGAGAAGAAGAAGAAAAAGCACAAAAAACGGTCTCGAACAAGATCACGCTCTCCCAAGTACCATTCATCGTCCAAGTCCAGGTCTAGATCCCACTCAAAAGCAAAGCATTGTCTTCCCAGTGCCTATCGGACAGCGCGGCGCTCGAGGTGGGTGTGCAGGGCGCCCTGGCGGCCGGGGGTCTCATGTGGGCACTGAGCCTCCCTCAGCCGGTAGCCGGCAGAGCTGGGCAGAGAGGAGCTTGCACGGCTCCCAGTAAGCACAGACCTGCGTGCATGTTCATATAACGATGCGTCCTGCAGCCCCAAATAAGATCTTTTCAAGATATTTTTTATTTTTTGCTTAACTTTCCTAAAGCTCGTCAACCACTGCCAGGTTTTTTAAAAATAGATTTATTTAAATTTTGACAGGTCTTGGAAGCAAGCCTAGCACGTTTGCTGAGTGTGTGAAGAATGCACAGGGTTGGGGGTCTTTTGTTTGTTTGAATGAGTGCACTTTTTCGTGCTAATTCCTTTTGAATGTGTAAATGTCAAAGGAGAAGAAATCTTTCCCACTTCGGCTATGTTCACCTTCTGCACAGCATCTCCAAGTGCCTGTAAAGAATGAAACACCGTGGTACGAATCCATTTTCTCAGTTAATTTGCTTCTCCAAACCTCCCACCAAGAGTCACCATTTAACCAAAAGCCGCCTTCATGAGGAGCCAGCTTTTGAGAAAGCAGCTTAACATTTCAGACAACAACAACAACAAAAAAGAAAACCTTTAAGGGTCACAGAATTTAGTGCTTAGTAAAGCTTTTTTTTTTTTTTTTAAATAACTGGCTTGCAGGAGGTTCCGAAAAGCAAATTTGTAGTTTTAAAACTTGCTTTTGATTTGTTACTAAGCGTTGACTTGACTTTCCTCAGTTTCTCTCTAGCACCACACTTCTACTGTTGATCTGGTTTTTCTTGTATAACTGGTGTAAGTTCTTTCCTTTCCACGGGAAAAATGCAGATGCCCTGTACTTTTTATGTTTAAAAAAAGCATGCTTGTACCCATTTGCCTCTCTGAATAGATCTTAAAAACAGTCTGCTCTCCCTGTTTTGACCAGACCAGACCTTAAAGGCTTGACACGTGTTTACACTGACTTGTCTACACTGGAATTGGATTTGCCTCCGTGATAAATAAATATGATCTTTGGCTATCTGCATTTTTGCTCATCCTCAAAAAGTTCCATCACATACACATGCACCAAAAAAAACCCTTATTTTTTAATTGAATGAACAACTTTGCTGACTTTCTTTGATTTGTTTATTTTTTTGAGGAAGATTGGCCCTGAGCTAACATCTGTGCCCATCTTCCTCTACTTTATATGTGGGACGCCTGCCACAGCATGGCTTGATAAGCAGTGTGTAGGTCCACACCTGGGATCTGAACTGGCGAACCCTGGGCTGCCAAAGCGGAGCGCGTGAACTTAACCACTCTGCCACTGGGCCAGCCCCTTCGTTTTGTATTTTTGAAAGCCCCTAGGAATTTGTTATCTAATATCAAAACTTTTTAAAGTTTCTTGTTTGAAAAAGTCTCTTATGATGTTGTATAGTGGAAATAAATAATATGGGCCTAGACAGGCCCTCTGAGTAATAACATGCCCAGTAAAATTCTTCCCAGTCGTCCTTTATTCCAGGACTCAGACAAAAGAACGTGTAATTCGTCCGTAAATCCCCACTCTGGGGGCCTGGTAACTATAAAGGCCGCTCACAGCCTCTCTTAGTGTGAAAAGTGAGACTCGCTTTAGTGTCGAGTGCGTCCAGCAGACACAGCGGATGCGGCTGTCTCGTGCTGACTGTGTCCCGTCTGCTCAGCAGTAAGGAGGGATGGTGTGGTGGCCACAGGCTTTCCCAGACGTCTCTGTTCAGAACTGGAAGTGTTTATCTAATACTTGCAAGTTTAAATTGCTAGGCTTTATGTGCTTTTTATTGACAATAATATAGTGTCATTTTATTTAGTATTTTAATACTTTTTAATTTTTTATTTTAGAATAGATTTAGAGTTATGTATTTTATATACAAATGTATTATATTATTTTTATATTTTCAATGCTGATAAGTGCAAGAAGCAAATCCTACTCCTTCATTTGTAACTTGTAGGTAAAAGAAAAAGCTGTTAAAAATTTTCTGAGTGTGAGTTCTATCTGGTAGACTACCAGTTTTACCTTAATTTGATCTACAGTTAAAATATTTTAGTTGTCAACAGAGTATTTTCATAACTCTTACAACTTTGTTTTAATCTCAATCACTGAGGTGATATGCACATGATACTTTTAGTTGAGTTTAGTTAAATCGGCTGAATTTTAAGTTCACTCAATAAGTCAGACTTTTGGTGTTTGATTTTGCAGTTTAGATAAAATATCAAGGCAAGTACAACTTTATTATAAAATTTTTAAAATAATATGAAACGAAACCTTCAAAGTGTTTGATTGTGCATGCAGTTTTGCCTTAAAAGCTAGCATGTGATGACGATGACACGCCTTGAAACAAGACCACCTCTGAGTCCCAAGTCAGAGGTGGGGAAGAGTCCAGCCGTCCTGTGGTCTCCGGGCCCTGAGGATATAAGTCAGATAAGCTGACGGTTCCTCACCTTCCCCTTGTAGAGTCCTGCCTCAGCCTTTACTGCTGAGCAGAGCAAGTCTGAGTTTTATTTGGTAAGACTATGTTTTTCCTAAGCTGGCTGCAGACCTGCCTTCTCAGTGCAAGCTCTGCCAGCACTAATAATTTCCAGGGAGCTAAGTGAATTTAGAATGCAACAGTTATAAAATGACAGAGGTTGCTGTTCTTAGCAATATGAATTGCTGATGTGTAAAAAATAATTAAATTTTAACCAAAATATTGAAGTTGCTAATGATACTGTCATAATTTTTTCTTTAACTATCTGTCTTTTCAGATAAAATAACCCATTACAGACATAATGTCTACATAGGACATATCAGACTTGTTTCTTGGTCCTGACACAACTTAATCGATTGTTTTAAAAAGACTACTGCCAGCTCCAAGTGAAATGTGCCCTTGTTAATATTGCTGCTTGTGGAGGATACTGCAGTTGAACAAATCGAATTACTAAATCCCATCTAAAATATAGAAGGTTAAGATTAGCAAGCCTTTTATATCGTAAATAATTTTTATGTTAATATATATGATATTCATATGGTCGAAGTCCCACTTGTCCAAATGTCTGAATTATAGATGATTCTGGATCTCCAAGGGTGAATTAGTTGTAGAAAAATCTTTAGATTCAGAATGAGGATGTTGCTTCTCAGAAAGCATAGTGATTACGACAAGGTAGTATTTAGTGTCTTCAATTTGAATCAACACTGATTAAAGTATAAGACTTTTTTCTCTTGTTTTCTATTTTTGTATCGCGTTAGGTTCTCTACCTTAATGGAATGAAGAAGCACTCGTGCAGTTTTTTTACTGCCTAAAATTAAAATTCGGTTTTAACAGTTTAGGTATTTTTAAACTAAACTTAAAAGACTATAAAGCTTGAGATTGTTTGTTTTTAAAACTTTTGATAAGATCACCTTTGGTGTTTGTTTCGTTGGTTGGTCAGTGTTTACTGGTTGTCTGAATCTGGGGAGATTCTAGACAGAACTTTGCATTTCGTCATTTGAAGCTATCCTGTTTGGAGGGTGCACATGGTCCCATAGAAGTTAGCGCCCTCACCACTTTCACTTGGGCAGGGTTGGGGAGCAGGAGCTGGGGACTAATGGGACTTTTTTTTTAAAGATTGGCCCTCAGCTAACATCTGTTGCCACTCTTTTTTTTTTTTTTCTTCTTCTTCTCCCCAAAGGCCCCCAGTACATAGTTGTATATACTAGTTGTAGCTCCATCTTAGTTCTGCTATGTGGGATGCTGCCTCAGCATGGCCTGATGAGTGATGCAAGGTCCATGCCCAGGATCCAAACTGGCGAAACCCCCAGCCACTGAAGTGAAATATGCAAACTTAACTGCTGCACCACCGGGCTAGCCCCCTAATGTGACTTTTTTTAACAGTTATATTAACATTCAAAAAGAACTCAAGCAGACAAAATAGAGGTCGTATTTTAGTTTGAAATTTGTGATTCCTTACTTTTTTCCCTGTGATAAAGTGCACAGCAAGCCAGTGAAGATGGTTGATTTAATTTCCTGATCCTGTTCCTTCAAGGCGGGATGGGGAGGCTGGACGTTCCTACGAGGTGATGTTGAGCATGCTGGTGTGGAGTCAGCCCTAAGCCTCCCAGACAGAACCGCGGGCTGCCTGTATTCACAGTTCGGGAAAGAGAGGCTTCAGGAGCCAACTGCCCCTTAAGATATCGGGAAGGATTTGTGGGTAAAGTTTGGTCCACAGTTCAAACTTGAGAAGAACTAAGACTTGGGAACCTGTTGTTTGTTCAGGCTGGTTAGTACCGGATCCTTGCTGCCAGGTCACCTGTTCATTTGTTCAGTTTCAGGAAAGAACTGTGAGTAGTAAATTCACAAGAATGGAGGAAGTGGACTAGACAAAATGGTTAAATGTTAGGGGAAAAAAGCTATTTATAAATACCACTATAATTCAAATAAAAAGTCTCGTTATGTCTTTATTTGAAAACAAACCATTATGGTTTATTCAATAAAAAAAAATCTGAATTGTATTATGCTTGAAAAATTTTTAATTCAAACTATTTCATCTTTTTAAGAAGGCCTTTGATCATGTTATACATATGACTTACTTATAAAGTGGAATTTCTGTTTCTTGCACTGTGTCATGGTGGCATTATTACGAGCCTAATTAACAGAGTAAAAGCATTAGAGCTTCTTTAATTAAAATAGACCCTAAGAATTATCTGATGTAGCTTTCTGCTCCCAATTCTGAGACGGGCTTTTTTCCCAGATAACTTGAAATCTACTGGTAACAGCCACTTCACTGTAAAGAAATCTAATACTAATAGCCACTGCAAGATGGTATTGTATTTCAAAGTTATGAATTTGCAGGCATTAAAAACTAATTTATTTTTCCTGATTTTGAGTTTATTGTAGAGTTCTGCATTTAAGCGTTCCATAGGTGCTGTAGCTTTGATAAGCAGAGCCTTTTTCAGGGTTCTAGTACCACCCAGCCCAGCACATTTTATTCTGAATGTGAAGTGTGTGCCTCCATATCACAGACCCACAGCCTCCCCCGAGACACTGAGCACGGAGCCCTGTCAGAGCAGCTCGTCAGTGGCAGCAGCAACAGAGCAAGACAATTATCAGGCAGCTTCGACCACGAACAGATTTGACTCCTGGAGCTCTTTTGAGGGAAAACCTGGTAAAATGTCAAGGTGTCTGACTGACCTCACCTTTGTAATCTGTTATATAAATCTTAGGAAAGGTCTGGAAAAAAAAAATGAAAACCATTTTATAAGCTAAAAAGCAGTTATGCTAGAGAAGAGCCGAAAGCCAATGCTAGTTATCCTGGAGCAGGCTCATGCCGCGCCTATGGTATTTTGTCAGGAATGACTCGGTTTTCTCTATGATGCAAGAGGGTGGAATGTGATTATAAGTTGATCTTTGGAACAACAGTGTGTGTTGTTTTGGGGGTTTTATTGTAATTAAAATGATTCAATGTAGAATTTTTTTAAATGGCAGAATCAAACTGCTCTTCTTTATATTGTTTTTGAGTGGGTTGTCATAGAAACAGAATGAAAAGAAATTGTTTTTTTTTCCAGATTCCTGCTTATTGCAGGTCTTACCGAAACAATAATTTCACTGAATGAACAAAAAACTAAAATAAAAGTCCTTAATCCATCACTAAGGGACCCCTCCCTAAGGCCCTGCCCCCGTGGAGGAGGGTCTCATTGAGTTCTGAGTCTGGCTGTCCGTGGGGCTTGGTTGCCGTGTGTGGATCATGTCACTGCATGAGTAGGAGGAGTCTTTTTCCAGGCACGTGAAAAGGAAGAATAAAATATTGATGGCTTTGCATCCAAGAAATCTCATAAACTGAAATTATTTAGCTACATTATCATGAGAACGGCATGTTCTTAATTGCACTGAAGGTTTGGGCTTCATGCCACTAGACCTACGGCCTGGTATTGATTATTCATGCTCAGAGGCCGTAGGTAGGATTCATGTGAACAGGACAAACGTCCAGGTAATCCTCCACCTTCATTACATTTTAATTTCTTCCTGCACCAGGATTCAAAACTAGTAGAAACGACTCCCTTGAATTTGATTGCCTTTCCTTACCTAATTCTGATAGAAACATCCACGAGCTAAGAATTTTTAGGGAGATAAAATGGGCAAAGGCAAGGGGAAGGAAGAGAGACAGCCAGCCTGCGTTAGCCATAAATTGCATAATCAGACTTCGAATTGTGGAGAGTTAGTTGCTACTGACCGTTTGGACCAGCAACACACAGCTCCAGCCTCAGAATGAATTGTACACTGGTTAAAAGTTTAGTGTTGGTGTGAATACGTATTATGCAATGGGAGAGAGAGGAGTATTTCTCCCTCCAAGACTGGATTCAGTTCTGTGTCCTAGATTAGTGAGGCCGAGGGGGAGCCTCTAAAAGGACAGCCATGGCACCTGTCTGGCACCCCGCAGACTCAGACGAGGTCTGATCACGGCCTCAGCAATAGAGGTTCCACCCTGCCAACCCGACAGCAGAACTGAACGCGTCATCTTCCTCTGCCCAGGTCCCGATCCCGGTCCCCTCGGAGAAGAGCTCACTCTCCTGAGAGACGGAGGGAAGAAAGAAGTGTCCCCACTGCCTACCGGATGAGCAACAGCCCTGGAGTCAGCAGGAAGCGGACCCGGTCCAGGTAGGCATCTGTGAGCTTTCACACAGAGTCGGTGCTGGAAGGGAGTGTGAAAGTTTGCACACACGCTTATAAAACAGAACTGTAGATAACCGGGGGGAACGGCTGCTCTGGCAGGTACAGAGTCCTCTTAGCAGCTTTTCTTGACTGTTGGAACTCGGAAGCAGAGCCAACTCCGCTGTGCTGGAAGCGGGATGCCGTCTGTCGTGAGGCTCGTGGGCTCATTGGGGCTCTTGTAGAGCCTTGCTTGGGATCACATTTTCTCTGGCACCAGTCCCCAAGTCTAGCTGCCCCTTTGAACCCCCACACACAGCACCCCACCCTTTGCCTGTTGACGGGGAAGGAGGTGTAGGAAAAAATGATAAAAAAAAAATTGGAAGTTCAAGTCTCAGTTGAAGCCCTGCTGCTGGCCAGGTGGCAGGTGACTGACCAGGCCACAGAGTCCTCGTGGAGCCTAAGAGCAGGGAGAGAGTTGTCGTCTGACCCCTTGACTGCTGGGAAAGACCTGTCTTAGTTGAGGAGAGTGAGGGAAGCCAGCTGCCACATCTCTTAAAGCAGAAGCCTGAGCCTTCACACCTGGTCTGGGCCTTTGACACCCGGCAAGCCAGGTCCCCACTCTCCCTCCTGGGGAGAGAACTCCAAGGCGCTGCGGGGGCTGCCCTCTCACACTGAAAGCGCTCCCACCACTGCTGACTCGAGAAAAGACGTCAGGCCATCTGTGCCTCTCCATGACCTGCTGGGACCCGGAGCCAGGGAGTACAGTGGTAGACAGCAGCTTCCATTAGTGCTATCAACAAGTGTGTCCCTCTTGCCGAGGGTGCTCTCTGGGAATCACTGCATCCAGCGTGTGTGGTGCCACCTGACTGCTTCATGTTACTTGGCTCGTGTGTTTCCATTCTCCCTGAAAGTGAGGAGTGCTCCATTTTTGTGCCCCCGCACGGGAGTTAACAGGCCCCCTGGCTCTGGTAGGTGGACAGGGGGCATCGCTGCCCGGTGACTGAGGCACCCAGAAAAGGCAAGATGCAGTCATAGCCGCAGATTCCATAGTACTGTGCTGCTGAGAGCATGTGAGTCAGGACACTTGGGGTTCCAGAACCTTCCAGAGGACACATCCTGAATACAAGTGTAAAGAGCACTGCTCTTGGACAGATGAACCCAGTCATTGCCGATACCACCCGTCTACAAAAGACACAAGCTGAGCAGCCTCAAAGATGCCTCTTCTCAGCAACGCCCTCAGCAGGAAGGGCTCTGAAAGGCATTCCTAATGGAAAAGTATTTCTGCAATCTGGCCAGTTATGTGATAGATCTATTAATTGATAAAATGTGATCTCTTTTTCTTAAGACGGAAAAATCAGCAAAGGAACTGTAAAGCTCATAGATTTCTGTGAAGGCTTCATGTGCAGACTGACTGTCTGTGTATAAATTACATGTGAGCCTCACAACGCACTAAGCACCCCTGGCTGTCCCAGGATAACAGGAGGGAACTGAAGTCCATTTTCAATTTCATTGCTTGAGCAAGTAATCCTTTAGCATTTGAAATTCATCACCACCTTGGGTATATGTAAAGGGCACGGTCTAAAATTAATTCCTTGTAGCAGAAGATCTCTCCTAATAGAAGAGTTCTTGCTTTGCCCTCAAATTAACCTTTGCATTAAAAGCGATATCCCAGGAAAAGGAGGTGATTATCTTAGGAATCGTCAGAACTTTTGTTATCACTGGAACTTATTTAATAAGTCATACAAAAGAAGTTAAGATTTCAATTTACTGCACTGCCAAGCTGCCCTTTCCTGAGAGATGGAACCAAACCTTGATCCTGACGCCAAGGAGTCATGAATTGGCGGGTTCACTGGACCCCAGGAGAGGTGAATATATGTGCAACTACTGGTTGATTTTTCAGTCCTGGTTATAAACCCAGAGTTGTCTGTAAGTCCAGACTAGGATCTCTTAGCAGTTGATCCAGCAGTCAAACTCTGTGCCCTCCACCCTTCCATGCAGAGAGGGTATGAGGTCTCTGCTTTAGTGTGGCAGCGGGTAAACTAACTCATCTACCAAGTCAGGGTCACTTTAATTCTCTCAGGTCACCCAGACCAGGGGAAGGTGCCTCCTGCCAGATTTGAAGGATTGTTTCTATAAGCTGGTCATTGAGTGCTGCTCTCACTGACTTCTGATTTTGATAATTTTTTAACTTACTGGAAAATTTTAAACTTATTGTCAAAAAATAGTACAGTGGTGGCTGGCCCCGTGGCCGAGTGGTTAAGCTCGCGCGCTCCGCTGCAGGCGGCCCAGTGTTTCATTGGTTCGAATTCTGGGCACGGACATGGCACTGCTCATCAAACCACGCTGAGGCAGCGTCCCACATGCCACAACTAGAAGGACCCACAACGAAGAATATACAACTATGTACCAGGGGGCTTTGGGGAGAAAAAGAAAAAAATAAAATCTTTTAAAAAATTTTTTTAAAAATAGTACAGTGAACACCCATATGCATATAACTCCTAGCTCGATTCAACAATGGTAACATTTTGCCACATCCTGTTTTTCTCTCTCTTCCTGTCCCTCCCTCCCACCCGCCATCTCTCCCTCACTCCCTTCTTCCCTCCCTCTTCCTTCGTCCCTCTGTCTTCCTCCCTCCCTCCTTCCTTCCTTCCCTCCTTCCTTCCTTTGCGTGTATATTTCATGGCTTTGACAAGTCCAGGCCAGCTGATTATAGAAGATCTCACAATCTGGATTTGTCTTACTGTGTCCTCGTGGCTAGATTCGTGTTAGACATTTTGGCAAGAACATTACATAGGTGGTGGTGTGTCATTTCCCATTGCATCATACTGGGAGACACGCAAGTGTCCATTTGTCCCATTACCAGTGATGCTGAGGTTGATTGCTTGGTTAAGGTTGCACCCGCCATGTAATAGTACCTTTTCATGTCTGACCTGATAAGTAACCGTGGGATGGCTCTGTGAGACAGTGTGAGTGCCCTCTTCCCAGCAGCTTTCTGCCTGTTGGTCTCAGCATCCACTGCTGCCTGAATCAGTTCTATGTCAGTGATGGCAAATGGTGGCTTTCCAGTTCTGTCCTTCCTTCTCTAAAGAAGAGCCACACACATACACCCTGGCTTTGTTTTAGTATCCCTATGGACTTTGGGGTTGTGGGTTTTGGTTTTTCATTTCTTATGTGGTATTCCATTGCCATAATTATTCTATTTGATGGTGATTGTTTCACACTTGGCCCCGTTGTTCTTTGAGCACATGCTGTTTTAGCACAGTAGGACGCTCCAGTCTTAACTGGTGCTGTCTCTGCCCAGCCTGGAGTCTGCCATTTCTGGTTCCTTTTAGTGAGTATTTGAAAATCAAGATCTGAGCATACTGAATATTTTTAAGAGGAAAATTTGGTACAGTGTGGAAACATATAAAACAACAAAACTGATAAAAAGTATTTTGAGTACATTGTAAAAGTGTTTTTCATAAGAATGTTTGACCAAATCATGCTAAAGCACACTTCAACAGGATGTTCCGGTTATTTTATTGCAGCAAATAATAAATGATTAGTTATGGGAGTTTTGCCATTAAATTCCTACTCCCTAGCACTGTGCTAGGCACATCAATAAATACTTGCTGAGTGAGTGAATAGATTCTTGCCTGGGATAAATATTTGCTGGCTGTTGTCACACAGTTCTTACATTATACATGACGTGTTTTTTTTTTTTTTTACATGACGTGTTATTAATTCACAGTCGACTTTTATAATTGAAGGATGCACATCATAATTCCCTAGAGCAACTGCTAAAAAAAAAGTAGCTGAAAAGCCAATGGAGGATATAAAACAGAAACTTAAAGATACTTCAGGGCCAGCCCCGTGGCCAAGGGGTTAAGTTCACACGCTCTGCTTCAGCAGCCCAGGGTTTTGCTGGTTCGGATCTTGGGTGCAGACATGGCACTGCTCATCAAGCCATGCTGAGGCGGCGTCCCACATGCCACAACTAGAAGGACCCACAACTAAAATATACAACTATGTACTGGGGGGATTTGGGGAGAAAAACCAAAACCAAAAACAAACAAACAAAAAATTTCAGTAATTCCAAAGAAAGCAGAAACGTTGGGGAGGGGGACAAGTGGACAAATAGAAAACAAGAAGATTGCAGACTTAACACCATTCATATAAATAATTAAATATAAGTGGATTAAAAACACTAGTTAAAAGACAGAGATTTTAGACTGCATTAAAAAGCAAAACCTAAGCTGCTTGTAAGAAACACTTTACATATGAATACACAAATAGGTTAAAATTTAAAAGATGGAAAAAGTTGTAAGTGCTAATAAGGAGAAAGGTGATACGGCTGTGTCAACGGGAGACAGTGTTGACTTAAAGAAGTGGTGCTAAGAGGGCCGTTTCCTAGTGACAGAGGGTCCACGCCTGAGGACGTAGTTTTTAAAATGTGTGCATTGAATAAAAGAGCTTTAAAATGCTTGAAGCAGAATCTGACAGAACTAAAGGTAGACAACAAGACAGTGTGGCGACAGCAAATGTGAGCAGAACCGTTAGCCAGCCGAGCCCTGCAGCCACAGCTGAGGATGCACATTCTTGTGAAGTACCACCGGACATCACCGGCTGCACCATGCAGTCAGTCTCAGTGAGTTCCGAAAGATGCAGGTGACAGAGCATGTGCCCTTGTTACCACATGGCATTAAGTATAAAAATCTATAGGAAGATATCTATAAAGTGCCCAAGTATTTGGATATTAACACTTTTTAAATTGCCCATAGGTCAAGTAAGAAATCATGAGAGAAAGTAGAAAATACTTTGAAATGAATGATAATGGGGTGCACCTGTGCTTGGAAGGAAATTAGTAGCTTTAAATGTTTATTTTAGAAAAGGAAAATAGTCTGAAAACAACAATCAAATCTTGTATCTTAAGCTGAAAACAGAAGCAGAAACTGAACCCAAAGTAAAAGCCAAATGTTAATAAAGGTCAGAAATCAAGGAAACAAGAAGTAGACCAACAGTGGAAC